GTAGAAAACATAAGAAAGTGCTCACTCTCACAGCTTTGGATACAGTAGCCTTTGGCAGGCTCTGAGACAAGCAGGGGCTTTGCAGTTAGCTAGAGCTAGTTTCCCTCCTGGCCCTGACTACCCTAGTACTCCAGAGAACATTTCAGAGCCTTAGGGCATCCATGTGCCTGTCAGATGGCCTTGCTTATCAGGACCAGAGGACGGCTCGGGGTCAGAGGATAGTGAGTCCTGATTAATCCCAGCTGGATCTGAGCTTGGCCCCCTTCAGGGTGCATTACTCTCAGCACCAAAGCCCAGCCCTGCCCCCCAGCCCTGCTCCAAGGACAGTGTCTTCTGCTTGCACAGTCCCACCTGGTCACAGTGCCAGCAACAGAGGAACGCATTTTCAGACCAGCAACCAAGGGCCAGATGTGTGTTCAAGGCTCAAAACTCACAACTGATTTCATTTCCTTTTAGCCTCTTCTGCAGCAGACACTACTCCTCTGAATTCTGCCCCTGATTTAAATTGTGACCTTGGCATGTCCTCAAATACATTGGTTAAATGTACAATGGTCAACTTAACTGCCCCTCCTTAATGTGTTGGCCCATTGGCACCGCCATCTGCACAGTACTGGTGTGTCAGCAGGAGTGGGGCCCCGCAGCTTTATTTACATCACACACACAGACCCACGCACACGTATGCACACATACACTCACACTCACACTCACAGACATACGCACATGCACACACACACACATATAAAAACACCCATTTACTCATGTACACACATGCACCTGCACTCATGCACGTGTACTCACCCCCACACACATGCACTCACCCACAAGCGCATGAACACACATGTGCACATCTGTTTGCCAGGGCTTTTCCAAATATAGGTTTTGTCAACCACCCACATACAGTTGTCCCCTTCCCCAACTGCCATGACTTAGCTGTGTGGAAAGTTCCTTAAGTTCCCTGTGCTGTGTAATTGATAAGCACCCAGCCACCCACCCCTTCAGCAGCTCTGAGGCTAAAAGGAAATGAAATCAGTTGAGTTTTGAGTCCTGAGCACACAGCCTGGCCTATGGTTGCTGTTCTGGAAATGCATGGCGTTCCTCTGCTGCTGGTGAGGTGAGAAAAGTAAAAAGCAGTTCAAGAGTCTGTCCTGGCCACCCTGTGTAGGCCTCAGCCAAGCCGCAAGCACGTTGTCTGCGTGTTTCTCCCCTGACATACTTGGGGCCTAGATTGTAGTCTATGATGTTATGTCTCATTCTTTATTTTATGACCCTCATGTGCACTCCCACCCTGAAAGGTGGATAAAAGAGAGGCAAGAGATTGAGTCGGGGGGCTTGGTTTTGGGAAACACGCTGGTGTTCCGAGTACCCCTGGACGAATAAACCCGCATCCTCTAATCAACTGGTGCCTGGAGTCTTCTGTCTGCATTGGTTTCCTGCTACACTGGCACTGTGACCGGGTGGGACCATGCAAGCTGCTCTATG